TCACGGTGAATATATGATTCACTTGAGAGCTATTCTGGTTTTGTAGGTCATCGAATGTCGTTCTTTTTCCGATAGTGGTTGAATTTTCGGTGGATGATTGATGTTCGGATGAGATTTCTTTTCTTTGTTATTATATATATATATAGAGGGGTCTTAATAGAGTGGAGTGCGATGGTGATGGTTGTTAGAGTGTAGCTTTCGTGCTCTTGTCTTTGTAATTGGATGACCCTAGGATCTCAGGTCTCGTAGGCAGCTGTCGAACCGCGGTACCAATATATCTCTGCATCTTTACGATGAAAGGGTAGGTTGATGGTACAGATGTAGCATCGTTTGGTTGGATGTAGAAAAATTCTGGGGTAAGAGAGGTAGGCTTCATAGTAGCCACGTGATAAGGTAGATATAGATAACGTGAGATTACATAAGCATAGACCACCTAGTTGGGTCCCAATACACTGACGCCCCGGCGTCAGTTTAGAGCTGACTAAGCGCGGGTTTTCACGCCCCCCCACCATCCACGAACACTCTACTTATACCTATAATTAATACATGCTTAACAAAATAACATATAATAAATCCTACAATATATATCGCTCCGAGTCTCGCGCATACTCCTCCTCAAGTCTAGCCCATATATCCCTACTCCTATTCTCAGTATTCCTATTCCTATTCCTAATAAACTCTGATTCAAGCATATTATACTCATCTTGCTCCTTCTTTTCCTCGTTATCTAGCCATGCTATAATCTCCTCATTTGTCCAGTCAGCTTTATTTGTAATAATAGTACCTGTAAGATCACGCCGCTCCCTAGGCATATAAAATACCTGCTCTTTTAAAATTTTCGGCCTTGGTGTTTTCCATTTTCGGGCCTTACGATATTCTGCTGGCCGTATAGTAGGATGCTGGGCTAGCCAGGCTGTTTTTTCAGCTAGGTAGGCCAGAATTAAGACTTCTGGCCGATCTGGTGAAAGCTGCTTAGGTACAGTTGGTGCTAGAGATGCTAAAGGTGCTGATGCTAGAGGTGCTGAAGGTGCTGTAGGTGATGTGGATAATGTGGGTGATGTGGGCACTGTATCTAATTCAAGGAGAATCTGGCTTTGAGCAGCAATTGATGCTTGTAGTTTCAACGGGCAGCTACGGCTACTCATTGTGTGGCCTTGCCTGTGGCATGCAGAGCATTTAGGTAATTGCTTTGCTTTTTTCTCCCCTTTTGAGAGAATGCGGCCTGTGTGAGCAACCTCTGCGTTTGCTATACGCTGTCTACCAGCCCATAGAGGGTTAAGTAGTGGCTGTATAGTGCTTTTACGGTCCCAGTACCAGTGCTCATGAAAGTCTGATGGAGTAAGCCCAGTAGTGTCCTTCTTTATCTCGCATATATGTGCACAAGGCAAGCCCATTGCCCGGGTAAAAGCACCAGTACAGGGCAGTAGTGGCCGAGAAACAGTCTCTTGATGTCGTTGTACAAGTCGTAGTGCATACCAAGTGACTACCCCAAAACAGCCTTGATATAGCTTCTTGTCTATATCAAGTGGTGCGCGGTCCTGTAACATACTTATACGAGTTGATACAGCTGTAATTTGGTTGATTACAGCTGCTTCAATAAGTAGCCATGATGAATAGAGGTCCCCCTTGGTTTTTTTGCCCCCTAGGTAGCGCTTAATATATGCATGAGCTCCTTCAGCACGGGAGGTTACTCGTATACCGAAGTGTAAGTATTGATTTGTCCAAGCCTCAACTAAACGCTCCTTTTGACCAGGTTTTAGCCACTCGTTTTGTAGGTATGCCACACACTGTTGAGTCTTAGGGTTTGAGTATTGAGTCTGAAACTCAAGCCAGCGCTTATCAAATTGCTCAATTGTCTGTGCTTGAATAACTATACGCCAGGCAGCCTCAAAAGCCTTCCAATCCTCTTCCCCGACTACATTCTTACATTTAGCAAGTACACATTGGTTTACATGCCAAATACAGAGTAGTGTAGGGGCGTGCGGAAACACCTCTTCTGACGCATTCTTTTGAGCCTGGTCACCGTCTATAACTATAGCTCCAGGGTTAATTCCAAGCTCTTGAAAACATTGGAATCCCCATATAAAGTCTTGCTGTGTTTCACCGGGAAGGAAGCAAAATCCAATTGAGAACGTTAATCCAGAGCTTGTAACACCTATGAATACTTAGTATTATAAGCGTACAAATAAGTCAAAAGCGGTACTTACCAATCATATGTAAGAGTGGCATCTGAAACTTATTTGTCTTATATGTATTATCAACTAATACAACATCTTGATTAGTCTGTGCAAGCTGAATTGACTGTGGATATGCAATGAAGAGGTGTTGTGTCCGGTTCTCTGACGTGACATTGATTTTGAAGTGTATTTTGTTATCTGTAAGGTGCTGAATAAGGGCGTCGTTTGGAGAGAGTCCATGTCTTTGCTCTCTTTTAAAAGAGGCATTCAGGTTATATATGTCGTACGGTTGAAGTGGGGTAGTAGTTATCTGGCGAAGGTATGTAATTGCTTGGCTTGGCTTAATCCCTAAATATATATTAGACTTAAATTATTTCAAGTTACTTTCTATCTTACCTGCATTGTGTAAAGATCTAGCCTGATTTATCTCTGCTTGTGCTAGCTTCCGGTGTGCTGGATGAGAGCTAACTGATTGACTTGGAAGGTGGTTATGTAGACTATACTCTACGCCAGGCCTATAGCGTAACTCCCATTGAGAATTTATACATTCAAGCGCTACTATTGAGAACTGGCAGCCAGTTTTTCGAGTAGTTGTCTGTCGCTTACGTGCTTGTAAATGCTGTTGCGGATGTTTTTCGGATGGTGGTAGGCCGTAACGGTCGCAATTATACGTGATCTTCGTCCTAGGACCGCCATGGATCTTTGTTGACCGTCCAATACGAAAAGCATAGCAATGATGTGCTGCCCAGGCTTGAATTGAAGTATATAGCTCTTCTTTAGAGCTATATATAGCCTCTGGAGGCAGTGGCATAGACGTATGAGGGGTGGCATCTGCTGACGCTGGCTCAAGTGGTTGCTCAGGTGAATGTAAGGGCAGTGGCGACAGCGAGAGTTGAACGTCCATTTTCGCTATGTAGCTATGTCAGGCGTGCATTGATTACAGTCCAAAGTACAGTGCTGGTAGATGTAAATGCGACGCGCGCGCATTTCGGTGGTGGGGGGGCGTGAAACCCGCGCTTAGTCAGCTCTAAACTGACGCCGGGGCGTCAGTGTATTGGGACCCCACCTAGTTATTAAGCGAGGGGGATGGGGGTCAATTTATTGGCTCCCTGCTAGCGCTTTTGTGGATAAAGCTATTGAAAGTGAGTATACGTAGTAAAGCTTAGAAAATATACAATTCAAAATCTTTCATGGACAGATTTTGTCTATTCAAAGTAAGCGTTGTTATATACTCGCAAAGCTGGAGGGGATACAAGGATAACCGGCTCTTCACTACCAGTGATTCGCTCTCTCTCAGATTTGACTTTAGCTATAAAACCACCGTTTACAAGAAGCCGCTGTGAGTCTTTGAAATTTTTACGGTCTGTTTGAAGTAATATAAGACACATCGAAGGGTCTGTTTTAGCTAGTGTAATAATCAAATTTGAATATAAATTCAAAATACCCGTACATTACCTCTTGTCCTATAGTACCTGCATTCGCAACCATCACTACATATCACAGCTGCCCTATCTGTGCCGGTTACTCATTTCTTCAAGCAGCAATATAATTCGCAAAGTACGATACGTGAGCAGGGAGTGGAGAAGTGGGATATACGAGAAACCTGTACATCTGACACGCGAGCCACATACCTCATTAATGACAAGGTTGCAATGACAACCGCTCCAGCAAGCCTCTATCTGGCTGAACAAAAGAAGAAAGAAGCCATGGATACGCCGGATGAATGTAGCATATAGGGAGTTGCGTCTGGTACTGCTTTGCGGCCTTGGTACCTACAAAGCCTTCCTTCTTCTTAGCAGGTCAGGAATGTGATTATTTATGCTTTCTGCCTTCAGACTGCAGAGCGCTCTCTGTATTCTCAGAATCTCCTGGTCCTAGTTCTTTCTGTATATTCGATGGCGAATTGTCTTCTGGTGATAATTGTTTGTTTAGATTGAAAAGCTAGGGTAGCTGTTGGATTTCCAAGGTATGGGGTCAAGTAGGTCATGTAGAATTGATTGTATTGTAAAAAAAGCTATTGTACAGCCTTTTATATCTACAAAAAGGGGTAAAAGAGTGGAGTGGTAACCCAATGCGGAAACAGTACAAATAATGAAATACATGTATAAATAATGAAACAAGTGGATTCCACGGTTCAACAGTAGCGTTCATTTTGGAGAGTAAGGAGTGGAAGGGAAGGTATGCCCTTTCCTTAATCCTGCATCTAATACTAATCAAGCATTCTTCGTTTCTTGGTCTGTTCTCATTTCCTCCTTCCATGTCTCGCAACGCTAGTATACAGTGTACTATAGGATTGATTGGCATTTTAGTGATTGCCATTATCAAAGTCCTTACCTTTATGGTGCAGCGGAGCAAATGGTCGAGTTTTCTTAGGAAATTGATCACTGTCGAAGCACTTTCGGCGTAGAAATCAAGCGAAAAGCTAATAAGTTTCAGTGTATCGATAAATAGAGAGAGCTATATGTTCCGCAAAATCAGAACCCCTATTTCTCTCTCCCACATTCGTGCAAGAAGCCTGGGAAAACCTCGAGGGAAATGCATGCTTAGAGAGCTGCCAAGTGTCATGATACACCACCCCTATACTCCATCCGCAATTGCGGAGATATCAAGAACTTACCATTACGTCCAAACTTTTTTTTACCTGCCATTTGTTTAGATCATTCCCCCAAAAGGAGAATCAATACGCGTTCAGAGCTCCAGTAGTGCTAGGCTTTTCCCAAAAGTCAGTAAAGCTTGTCATTCTCAAGATTATACACTGGGTTGGAAGACTGACCGTGGAGCTATGGGCAGGTATTTCCACGACCATACCCCCTACCGGCTTGCCTATCTCTTGCCTCTATGTGATCCACCTCCAGCGACTGGCTTATTTGGCTCTGGTGCAGCCTCTCTCTTGCCTCCGTGCGATCCACCTCCAGCGACTGGCTTGCCTCTCGCTTCAATATCTGAGATGGCTGCCGCAGAGGCAGAGAGAGCGAGAGCGAAGGTGATTAAAAGAGATTTGAATTGCATTTTTATAAAATAAAGATGGGATTTGATGAAGGATTTTGCTTGAGAATGCTGCGAAAAAATTGGTTGATCGAATGAGGAGGTTCCAAGGCTATATTTATAGACAGATTCTGTACACAAGTTACTTAGAGAGGTGTGACATTCGGTAAATGACACTTGCTAGAATTTTTTTAGAGCCACTTAAATGACGAGACACGGTGGCTGCATTAGAAAAAAGTTCTTTCTACCAAAAGTCACCAATCAATTTCAACATCCTCTTTACCCCGCCTATAATTCGCACTATTGAAGACTCTGTTGATTCTAAAACATTTACAAAATTCTCTCGCTTGTGACGTGGCAGCTTTACCGAGTACTTGGCTTGCTTCTAGTAAGTCGTCATGCTAGCGCAAGGTTACTGGCTATATCATGTATTCTAGTAGAAGGATGAAACCCAACGCTAACAGAAATCCCTCTAGAAGCATGTGGTCTGTTTAGTTACCGGTGTTCAGTTGTTTGACCGAGTTGGTAATGTAGTCTGTGTGTGCATCTTCCAGGCTCAGCGCGCTCTGCGAGAAAAGTCGTGGTGTTTTCTCATTAGAAAGAGAAATGAATAGAAATGCTATCCAGACGAACCCCACTCCAACTTCCTTTCCCCCACAATGATTTCCGACGCAAAAGCTACATTGATACTCTGGGAGGAGAGCTGTCATTCTCTCCATGGCGGTCATTTGATGTAACCTCCTCCACCACCTCTACATTCTCCATCTTCTCCAGCTCCTTCGCTCGAGCCTTGTTCGCTTGATATATTCTCACGCAACGACTGCCTGGTCGGCTCAACCAATCCCCCATATCGACTTGGGAAGTCTAATCCACGTACCGTGGGGGCCTGGATAAAATAAATATGGCGGGATTTTGGCGCAGATCGAGTCGCGCTTTGCTCTATGTTAGGCGTTACTGTCGCATGGCAATGAAATAGAACGGCGATGGAGCGGTAATACGATCGCGTAACCATTGAAAAAAAGAGAACTACATACACACAATACAACAATCCAAAGAACCAACCAGCAAAACTTAAGGTGCACGGCGTAGATACCATGTCTCAAGAAACCCCCTCACCCCCGAACGGGCGTTTATTGGAAATTTTTTCAGAACTGAGGACTGCTATATTATTGCACATCTCAGAGGAATGCACCTCCCCGCAAGATAGGGCTGTCTTTTAGTTTTTTTTTGTAGAGGGCTTCATTTGTATGTGGAGCTAAGAGCTTTAGCTAGTGAATCTGTAAGAAGGGGAGAATACCTACCAAGGGCTTTGGAAGCTCAGGCAGACCAATTAGGACTTTGAATCTTTTTTTTTTTCTTATTTTTATTTTGTAGGTAGAGTTGGAAATGTACGAGTGTGTGCGCATTAACCAGTTGGACAGTTGGTGGTGTTGTGTGTCGTGTGCCTTTTTGGCAGGGGTCAGAAGCGTTATCTCGAGGTAAATAGGTCAAGGGTTAGGTTTTGGGGGTATGTTTTGTGGGCCGAGATTATTCCAGCCATTCAGAGGGGGAGTAGGGTTGGAGTGAGGTGTTTGGAACTGAAGTGAGCGGAGGTAGCGACGAAGCTGGCTCTTTCCTCGACCTACGTTTTTTATGTGGGGATAACCAAATATTTATCAATTCCTTCAGACAACCCTGCTGCTGCTTCTTGAGCTCTCGTAACGCTTGTAAGAAAGCATCCTCGGTCTATCATCTCTATGGTGTGTACTGTACCTGGGTGATTCTTTTCCTGGTGATGAAAAGCAACGTCAGGCGATTGAAAACGAGGACAGAGGAGAGAAAGGATGTGTAGTGATCACCGAGGACTCCAGGCAACTCTCTTCATTTATTTCAGCTTTATCTCCTTAACTCGGTCACATCTACAGACAAAGCTAAGAGTTCAACCAAATCTGGAGCGAAGAAGGGAATTAACAAATCCACAAGTCATTTTCAAGGTGTAATACAACAGCAAAGTTCAACTGCCTGGAAGGAAGTTTCGGAGTTCTTGGGGTAATATCTGGAACATGATGTTACTTGTAAGTTGGCGGCTTGTGGATGGGAAGTTTATGTCTGAAAGTCTATAATCACCCCTTGTAGTCAAACACCCATCCGATTACGGACTTGGAGACTCTCCAAAGTTCTAAAGAAAATGGCACGAACCATGACTTCCCGCTTTGATAGAGCAAGAAATGATTGGAATGTGGTATCTTACTCTATTCACTAAGCTATCTCTTGTCCCAAAGCACGTCTAGAATATGACTAATTACAGCTATAACCATATGCTTACAAGTCTGATCTCGAGAGCTAGTCGGGCTGAATGTAATCAGCGGGGGAGTTGACTAACTGCAGATGGACTACCCATTCCCCTTAAGCATGGCAGGTAGAATATGCACCAAGAAAATTCTAATTAGTCAATCGAATGTACTTGTGAGACGTGGTGTCGAGATTCTGCCTTACAACTGGATGAGAAGCATAATATGAGTGTCCTCGTCCACAATCACGAATATAATTGCGGACTGTGAACCTGTTTAGGGAGATTCGTTTGACGGGGTAGTGCCACACTTGGACCACCAAAAGAGACAAATTCTTTGGAGAACTTCGGGGAGAACATTGAGGAGTAGATTCGTCGTGATGTGGTGGTTCACGATTGCGGACACAGCAATCCTGTTGCTCTTGCTGGCAATGTGGTATGAGCACGCAATGAATATTCGGACGTGATTCAATATTTCGACAGCAAGCAAAGTTCCGGGGGTGAGACTTCATATGAAGGGAGGACATTCATATTATACATATCCTCTACCAAGGATTACGGGGAAACTAGTAAAACAAGTTCGAAAAAGAAAGATCGAATATCCCAAGTCCACAAGATACCTAAGTTAGCCGAGGGAATGTTCTTTACTACGCTATCAATGTGTTTTGATTATCACATTCCATCTTGAGGAGTTTATAGATGAGCGTTTCACGCCTGGATAATCTCTAGGATTGAAGAGTCTTAATAATATTAAGTACTAGCTAGGGAAGCCTTTTCTTCGTGGTACGATCTGGCGTGTTATTCTCAAGGTCTGTTACAGAAGTGCGTACTCAAACACATCCCTGAGTATTCTCAAACTCGGCAACTGCATACCTATTTACAGGTAAAATCTCCCAAGCTCAGAGTCAAGAATCTTGAAGATCCTCGCCTGCAAATCATGGCCATATCTTGATAGTGTCGTTATTTCTATTCTGAAAGAACGTGTGCCTACACCTCAACGAGAAATAACTTTTGTGACCTCAAGGAGAACCAGGAGTTCTATAAGTCGAAAGTGAGTATTTACAGGTCTCCATTCCCTGAAGCCAATATATACAAATTATTGGTCCACTGCTCATGTGTAATGTAATTAGAAAAAGAACGAAAATGAGGACGACGTGAGCACCGCGGTGCGGTAGGTAGTATTCCTTGTAAAGAATTACTACAAGATATCTTTCTTGGTATACTTATTCACTCATTTAAGTTATATACTTAGAGACGCAGTGTAAGTGGCAGTGAACCTTATAGTTCAACTGTATGTAACTTCATATTCGGTAGCAAGTATAGAATCAGGTAGAAAAAGTTCGGATGAACAAGGTCCTTAATAGTAAAGTAAAGACGTATCCAAGACTTGCTATGATGTCGAATACTCGGTTCCTACCTACCTAGGTATGGCAGTAGTAACCACGATCGATCTTCATAGCTACCCTATTTGGGAAAGCGATTTATCCGCTTGGTCGTATCGGATATTAGGTCCACCGATTACGGATTGGTTTATTATAGTGTCTCTCTCTCTTCCTGATCATTTCATGGGAGTTATTGTGCCTAGTTATTATACTCGCTCCCACCAGTTATTCCTCTTTACTACAAGGCAACTAATGGAGACCAGTTTTCGAGTTTACTATATGCAACTATTCAAGTTGCTTCGCCAACAAATGGATCCACTAAATTCCGCATACTGTATATTATCCGCATCCCTGATCGCGCTTCACCCAACACCCCTTTTTATCTTCACCCTCACCTTACCATACCATCCTCCCTATCCACCCCCCTGTTCCCATCCCCTCCCAAAAGCGTACTTACTACACCACTACCACTACCACCACCATCCGAAACGGGCCCCCAGCAAAAAAACCTCCTACCAGGTTCAATAACCAGACGAACTGAGTTTTTTGATTTTATTCTCCGGCGTGATGTGGCGCTTATGGGTGTGATTGAATCACGTAGCAACTGACTGGGCCAGAGGGACAGGTTTTAATCCCAGTTTTGACGAAGAAAAATGTGTGGTTTGGGTATGTATATGCCTGTCGCTTAGATTACGGGGAGTTTGTGGTTGTGCGACTAATTGTATCACGCTATGGTGCTAGGTAGGCTTTTCTGAGGATGTTGGGTCTTTGGGTGGTGGAGGGAATTGTTTTTTTCATTCTGGGTGTGAGTAGGGAGGTAGTTACTTCTGAGACGTGTTTGACTTCAAATCTGCAAAGGGAACTGAGAATAAGATTCAATGAAAATCCCGTATATTGTATCATACAACCCATCTTTGTACATACATATACGTTCCTATCCTATAAGACCTTCCCCTTCTCCTTAACCTTCTCTCCACCTACCACCCCATTCTCCCCCTTCTTCTCAGCAATCACCACACTCCCCAATTCCCTCTCCTTCTCCATCTGCTTCTCATCATCCACCTCAACCCCACTGATAAATAACTCACTCACCCCTTCTAAACTAGCAACGAAAATGCAAAACAAACTCGCTATGCAGAAATGACTAATCGTACTCCCAATCTCCAGCCAACTTCCCTCATCCCGCACGACCCAGAAGAAGTGGAGAGTCAGGAAATCACTAATCGCCATGACGACCATGAACAACGCAGAAGGAGCGACACCGAGTCGCTTGTTCAAGATTCCAAGGTTGGCTGAGATAAGAGCGAAGGGAACCATGAGTTTCCAGACGAGCAAAGCACCCTGGGAAAAAGGATCGAATACGGGAACAAGCCGATTAACGCTGTCAAGACTGAATGATGATAGAGAGGCAACGTTTCCCGTACAGAAAAAGGCCGCTTGAAGGAGAGTGAGGAAAAAGAGCGACACGCGGGCATCTGAAAGAGTAAGTGTTCGGAATGGCGAGGAGGTTAGGGATGGTGGGAGCTTGGTCGTCCCATTTGTTTTGGTTGATGGGGTTTTTGGTTTAGTGAAGATATAGATGCTATGTTCCATCCGCACCCAAGTAATAAGGACGGCACAGAACCCAAGGTAAAAGAGTCCCTCATACGAAATTGTGAGGATAACAAAGGTTGGCGAGAAAGTGAGGAAGATGATCATCAGTCGATGGAGATAATGGTTATTAGGCTGAAGTCTGTGGAGAAATGGCATAGCCAATGGCAGTACTACACGGACATTAGCAATTTATTTGTGTTATTCAAATGAACACAATACCGATAACTGCCCAGCCGACTATTTGATTCCCTATTGGGAGCCCTGCTTTTGCCTGCAACGATGTGGCACTAGACCTGGTGACTACTGTCGTTAGGAGAACGAGGCCCACCTGAACTCTGTTAGTACACAGTTCTACGAGAAGAGTTTGTCCGACGTACTTGAATGCCGATGAGGGTACGAGACAAGAGGTCGTTGGCAGGAGCGACCGAGTCGGTCACTAGTTTTGAGTTTGCCAAAATATCCTTTTGGAAAATTAGGTAGAGCAATCCTATTAGCGCCATCAAAGCACCGCCAGAAGTTCTGAAGTCAAGGTTAGCATCGAATCCAGACACCAAAATAATAGATAGCTTACACAAGGTTAATATCCTCAACCTTCAGTGCTGGCAGTAAAGTGAAAGTGCTCATAACCACACACGAGACAACCCATGTCCCTACGAGTATTGTGTGTTGGCTCAGGAACTCTATTCCATAGAATGCCGGCCAAAATGCAGCACAAACAAACAATACGGAAAAAACTTCGCGATGCGTATATCCCAACGCCTAAACATCGTCAGTAGATTTAGAAGAGGAGGAAACGATATATGTACCAAAGACTCCAACAATGCTAAACCGATGAGAACTTTAAAAACTAATGCAAATGCCGCGCCCATAGTTGAAACATGACCAAACAATGCCTTTCCACCTTCAGACAGAACTTCTCTTCGAGCATATACCTCTTCCCAGAAAGCCACAGGGAAAATGGCATATGCGTAGTATGTCGGAGGGGATTTCGATACAATAAATGAAGCATATAAGACAACCAAGATGGACGAAAAGAAAACTGTGCCTGGCAATGTTCGAGATGTTTTAGTGTTTCCGTGAAGGACATGCAAGTCAATGACAGTTGTAGTCGAGAAAGCGATCCATCCAAGGTACCCAAGAGTGATCAAAGCCCTCAAGAAAAGCCAATCATAGGTTTGAAGATATCGCAGACCAGCGAGACCTAACTTGACTAACTCGTCTGTTTCTTTAATAGCTTCTTTATGTCGGCCTTCATCAATGAGAGTTCTAATACTAGAAATTCGATGTTCAACCGAGTTCTCCTTATCGCCCAAGGGGGAGAAGGCTCGATAGCGAATTTCGGTTTGCATTTTCTGCCCCTCTTTAATTCTGTACATGTCAAGTATGCCCCTGGCATTGGCTAAGAATGCTTCGGCTTTCGCAGCGACGTCGCCAGCCAGGAACGAAAGGGGAAGTTCTCCAACCGAATTAACAGGGAAGGCGAGTCCTGCCAAGTAAGCCATCAAAGCCGCAACATCAGCCTGAGAAACATCATGCCTTTGAATATGATTGAGGTCCCAATCGGAAGACAACTCGTCATGACCTGGCGCAATCTTCCCAGGAGTCTTTACGGGTTTTGCTACACCTGAACCCCATGCGATTAATGGAGTCCTCGTATTATCAGGATGGCCATCTCCATGGCTTCCGTAATCACTCATCCCATGGTCTGCTGTAAATACAAACGCAGTTTTGTCATCATTATAGAAGTCCTCGATAAGTTTTGTAATTTCCTGCACACCTTGGTCCACAATTTTGATATTGTTGAGGTATTCCTTGGAGTATGGCCTGTAGCCATGCCCATTGGTGTCTAGTCCAAGTAGATGGAGGAAGAAAACCACCTTTTCCTGGCGCAATTCAGCGTCGAGCGTCGAGTTTGTTGCAGCTTCCTCGAATAGAGCCTTAACTTTGTCGAAAACCCAGGTATCCAGATGTGACGCCTCTTGAGAAAAATCCTCGAATTCTGCATCATACGAATCGGCATGAACCCTACCAGGGGTGGCACCCAGCTGGAACATGGGGAGAATATCTGGACTTCCCCAACTCCACGTATGTTGACTTCTGTTGAATACACTGTCGAAATTCACCGGATTTAACTTCCACCCTGTTGTTACCGCAGACACATCTTCATAGAGGCCCGCTATCAGAGCGACGTGTCCAGGTCTAGACTCTGTAGGAACGCGAGTATGCGAGACGCCAAAAGTACCATGATCGAGAACGCGCGAGCGCAAGAAAGGCGCGAGGGGTCTGGGTTTGAGATCGGCGTCGTTTTTAGGATGCGGTTCTGGAAATGATTGGAATGCTTTGTCTGCGCGGAGGCCATCTCCTAAAGTTCGAAAATATTTCGAGTCAGTATATATCTACGAGGTTGTGCGATTGTGCTTGTGGAGGGGCAGTTCTCATACCAACGAAGAGCACCAACCGCTTTGCTGGAGCTTCCGCGCCAGCTGGTCGCTCGACCTCGAATGGACGCATGCCAGAAACAATTGGACTGACGAAATAAATGTCAAAAATCGAGTATATATAAACAACATGAAAGGCAATCGCAATGGCTAAAAAGCCAAAGCGACTGACCCGGGCCATATTGGGAGAAGGAAAACGTGTTGGTTCGCGGGAGACTCAATTGTAGGAGTGGTCGTGGTCGTGATCGCAGTCGTAAGCTTAAGGTTGGGCCCTCGAGGAGGAAAAATGTCCTCGGGGAACGCGAATAATGTTGTGAAATCCAAAGGAGTGGCGCGTCCGTAAACGGGACTGGGGAGTGTGAGTGTTGCAGACTCGTCTGGTCAAGTTGCAAGCTTGATCTACTCTGGTATTGCTGTTCGCAACGTTGGCCATTTGCTGAGATAGATATTTTGGGTTGAGCCACTGGGACTGGGACTGGAATTGTACCCGGAGGGCTTCCGTCATTCTGCCCAGACAAGGGTCGTGGCACCCCAGTTGTATCATTCAGGGGTTCAGGGGCGGGCTTTGGCTTTCATTCTTCAACCGAGTTTGAATTGAGTGCCGAGCTCAAACAATAGTGAAGTATTATTAACATTGACATTGTTTGTGAAGTCTTCAACTCGCTCATTTCTACAGAACAAAACAACATCATCCATATGTGCATGAATAACCCAAACCAAAGGTATCTCAAGCCTGCGACTACCCACATACACTCCAAACCCCAAACTCCAAAACTCAGATGATCGCAACTCTTGACTGTCATTAACCTTTCTCAAGAGACCTGTTCCGTTAGAGCTTTTACAACACGCGCGTAAAACTTTGCTGCCTGCGACCTCGGGAATGAAATCTCGTCCACCAAGTAATCTGGGAGTAACTGAATCAAAGATGCATCTCTGCTGGGGTCTAGTTGAGGAACATAGTTGCACTGTGCATCATCGTAGTTATCCGATGCTTTCTCGTTGGCCGCATCCAGCTTGAAGTGAAGAGCTGCAAAGTGATCAGTACGGAGTGAGATTGGAATAGACCAAGCCTGAACTTACTACCATTTCTTCCTGTTTGTATGCAATCAAAAATATCTTCCTCTGGGTTTCGTGCTACACTCATAATGATCAGACCAGTGAGATCGCCATATAAATCCTCCTTAAGCTGTGCAGCTTGAGCGGCCTGGGCAGCTTCTGCTGTGCCCACCATGCGAATTCCTCCAGCCTTGACTGCGCTGCCAGGTACTTTTACGGTTACACTTTCAACAGAAGCAGCAATTTTACGATTGGCAGCCAATTTTGTTGAGAGGGTCTTGTTTTCCGCAGTTAGGGTCTTTTTCTCGGCCAGTAATTCTTGAGTTTCTTTCTTAGACTCGGATAAAGATGCGTTCAACTGAGTTATTTGTGCATGAAGAGCCGCCATGTCGGTCGATTGCAAGTCTAACTTTTTCTTCAGAGTTTTGCTTTCTTTTGCTATGGCAGTTTGTGCCGCAACATCGGCCTTGAGGGAAGAAATGAGGTTGTTCAAAGCTAATGGTCATTAGTAAAGATACATGCAAAACAACCGTCATGGACATTTACCTTTTTCCTTTTCCTCGCTCAGCTTTTTGTATTGGTCAAAGGTATGGTCTGCGTCCTTTGATGCAATTTCCTTGAGATCTTGAAATCTAATGTGAAGAGCATCATATTTTTTAGTCATATCTCCAAGCTTTCTTCGAAGCGAAGGATTATCCCTTTCCGTGTCTGAAGAACTTCCTGCTCGTATTCGTTTTACGGGTGGCTGTCGCGCTCGATCATCGGACCTTGATCGAGCGGCATTATTGACAGTTACCGAAACAGTTTCTTCCACTTCGTCATCCGCTTCGACATCCAGATCCATTGCCTCAACTTGCGTTTCCAGTACGACCTTCTCTGGCGAAGCCTGTTCGCCAGGTTCTTCTTTCACAGACGCCTTCTTTCGGCCAGGTCGTGATTTCGCTTTTGGTTGAGCCTCCACCACCACAGCTTCAATATGATCAACCTCTTTCGCAGCTTTCCCTCCTCGTTTTGCGGCAGCTTTCTTCGACGCAGCCTTTTGTTTTGGCTGAGTTTCTTCAACCACTGCCACGACCGTATCTTCTATCTCCATTCTTGCCACAATAGGCTCTTCATCTTGCGCAAACTCGTCAACCTCCTCCGTATCACTGGCAACTTGCTGATTTGTCTTATCTGCTAGCGCTCGTCGCTTGCTAGCCTTCTTCTGTGTGGCTGTAAGTGGTTTTTGCTTAGTGATCGACCGACGTGAAGGAGCTTTCGCCTTGACGACCTTCATGGGCGCAACCTTCGTGGTTTTTGCCCGTCCCCGTCCCTTCTTCGCTACGGCTAGAATTTCTGCCGCAGAATCTGGAATCGGCATCGCACCAGTCTCAGCAAAATGGTCGTCCGAGTCCGAATCGACCAATGCCGACAAGGTCGCGTTTCGTTGTTTGGCCTTCGGCATCGAAAAGTTGATGTCTTTGGTTTAGGGTTTGAGAAGACGCGTTATTCTTGGCGCAAATGTGTGAAAAGTGAATTCAGATCCTTATTAGATTTCAGACACAATGTGGTTAGTGATATCCTCGTGGGTGGTGCCGGGAGGTCGTGGGGGCTTCTGGGGATTGGACTTGGAAATTGAGTAGAAGAATGATCCGACGCGACCTTTGGGCGGGAGGTTGTGTTGTTTTGCTACTTCCCCTTTGGGTTGATTGCGAGAGCCAAGCCAAAGCCGCCATAAAAGCGGCAACTAGCACCGCCACCGCGGAGTGGCGTTTAACCTTTGCCACGAACACTTGCAGCATCTTGATAGCTCCATCTTTCTTCTCACCAGCAAATTTATTGAAGTTTACTATTACAGTACTCTTTACGATGGGGGATCCACCTTCTAGGAAGTATGGCTTATTGCAAGACCTCGTACTTCTTGCTGTCTCTGTAAGTGACCTGCTGGGATTTCTACGGACGGGCTGATGGTAGGAAAGTGCCCTGCTAATACTGAGAATCACAGTTGGGCTCTATGTGGTACATTGCTCAAAGTATAGTGTCGAGTTTACCAACGGCTGGCGATCCTGATAAGGAACAACACGAACAAGCGCGCATTAAGGCAGCTGCCAATCTGCGAAGATTAGACAGAAGGTCGAACGATTCGGATTCAGATGACGATAATGATGGTCGAGGTAGAAAAAGAAATGGCGACAAGAAACCACGGCAGCGAAAAGAACACCTGGAATTGGATCAATATGAGAGCCAAATAGCTTTAGAAGTCGTGGCACCTGAGGATATACCTGTCGGATTTGATGGCAAGCTTTATGCACGCATCTGCAAGACATCATACTAACATTTTTTGTTTAGATATCGGAGGTCTGGATGACATTATCGAAGAACTCAAGGAATCCGTAATCTACCCTCTTACGATGCCTCATTTGTACGCGCATTCTTCCTCACTTCTCGCCGCGCCCTCCGGTGTACTTCTCTACGGTCCTCCTGGTTGCGGAAAGACTATGTTGGCAAAGGCGTTGGCACATGAAAGTGGAGCGTGTTTTATAAATTTGCATATTTCGACCTTGACCGAGAAATGGTACGGCGACTCGAATAAACTTGTGAGAGCCGTCTTTTCTCTTGCCCGAAAGTTGCAACCAACCATAGTTTTCATTGATGAAATTGATTCGATCCTTGGCCAAAGACGCAGCGGGGAACATGAAGCGAGTGGAATGGTGAAAGCAGAGTAAGAGAACCTGAATGGCTTGCTCATTAATGATGCTTATATGATTTTAGGTTTATGACCCTCTGGGATGGCCTTACATCGGCCAGCGAAACTGGCTTACCCTCTCAAATCATGATTTTGGGTGCAACCAATCGAATTCAGGACATTGACGAAGCTATTCTACGAAGGATGCCCAAGAAATTTCCAGTTTCGCTACCCTCCAAACCACAGAGATTACGAATTCTACAATTGCTACTAAAGGACACCAAGATTGAGGAAGACAACTTTGATATGGACTATTTGACGAGAGTTATGGCTGGAATGTCTGGCAGTGATATAAAGGAAAGTTGCAGAGATGCTGCAATGGCTCCTATAAGAGAATATATTCGTGAGCAGCGGCAGCGCGGGATCGCTATGACTGGAGTGAAGCCGGATGCTGTTCGAGGTATCAGGACTGCCGATTTCTTCGGAACAAAAGGAGGTCAAATTATTATTAGCAACCACGCAAAAGTGCAGAGGGATTCCAAAAAGCGATCCACAAAAAAGTCTCGAGGCCAGGATTCTAGCGACGAGTATGAAGACACCGAGGACAACGAGCCTCTGGTTGAGCCGCAGGATTGAGAGGGGGTGACTGGATAGCGTAGGAATTTGTAGAAATATGGGATCGGCGTTCAATGGATCAAGGTTGGGCATGAGTAACGAGAAGATAAACTCAAACGAGCGAGCAATTCTGGCGATGGAGTTTAGACGGTCTGTCAAGTACAAGATATATCAAATTATGTAGCACTTTACTCCTGTATACATGACTACCTAGGCACGAGTATTTAGATCCTTTTAGTGGTTTTGGAAATGGTTACCTTAGTGAGCTTCTTTAAGAAGTGATTTTGCAAATAAGACTACAACACTACATAAGTAATATAGTAAAAGCATGTCTCACAACCAATTATTATGTTAAGAAATAGGAATAATGTTTCTCCGAGATCGGCCCCTGAGCACGTCATCCCACCAGTACGAAACGTAGGGGTTCTCAATGGTGGGACCCCCAGCTAACCTTACCCCACATTCGATGTTGTGACTCCGCTGCCGCAGCTACCTGTGGTTATCACTTGAAGAGCACAGAGTGCTTTCGATTCCCTAGAGCTGGAACATCTGCAGAAACGCTTCTTCACAATCAATTGATTGAGCTCGAATTCGCATCTTCAGCCTCCTTCCACCAATTCCACCTTTGACACCTCGAGAGCTAAGGCTAGGGGTATAGTATCCGCCACTGTCAAGAACTCCTCTGCCCAAAATGTCTACACCGCCAGGCCCTTCTCAGGGATCCAGTTCTTCAAGTAAAGCGACCGTTGCAGGAAAGGCACTGTCGCATATTGATCTCGATGGGCACAACCTTCCTCCCTCGCCTGCACCTTCGAGCCCTCGCAATGGCCGAAAATACGCTCTTGCGACAGAGCTGGTATACACCGAGAGCAAGGACCAATATGGCGCCTCAAGCATGCCCATCTACCAGTCTGCTACCTTCAAACAGAGTTCAGCTGGTGGCGGATCAGAGTACGACTATACCCGGTCTGGGAACCCAACACGAACGCAACTGGAGAGGCATTTGGCAAAGATCATGAATGCGGCTCGGGCGTTGGTGGTGGGTTCGGGGATGGGAGCTTTGGATGTCATAACCCGAATTTTACGACCGGGAGACGAAGTCATCACAGGCGACGACTTATATGGAGGCACCAACCGATTGCTGACCTATATGGCAGCAAATCACGGCATCGTTGTTCACCACATCGATACCACAACCCCAGAAAAGGTTAGAGACGTGGTGTCTGCAAAGACAGCAATGGTTTTACTAGAGACACCAACGAATCCTCTGATTAAGATTGTCGATATTCCAACAATCGCAAAAATAGTTCACGATAGCAATCCCAAAGCCTTGGTAGTGGTTGACAACACCATGCTTTCTCCTATGCTCTCGAATCCTCTGGACCTTGGAGCCGACATTGTTTACGAGTCGGGAACCAAGTATTTATCCGGACACCACGATATCATGGCCGGTGTTTTAGCCTTCAATGATCCTGCAATTGGTGATAAAATGTACTTTACAATTAACTCCACCGGCTGTGGGCTCTCCCCCAATGATGCTTTCTTACTTATGAGAGGTATCAAAACGCTAGCTATTCGCATGGAAAAGCAACAGTCAAATGCTCAGGTAATCGCCGAATTCCTCGAGGGGCACGGTTTCCGAGTGCGATATCCAGGGTTGAAATCTCATCCTCAATATGATCTTCACTGGTCCATGGCACGAGGTGCTGGTGCGGTGTTATCTTTTGAGACTGGGGATGTTACCTTATCTGAGCGCATCGTCGAGGCTGCCAGACTATGGGGAATTAGTGTCAGTTTTGGATGTGTCAACAGCTTGATCAGTATGCCATGTCAAATGAGTCATGCAAGTATCGATGCCAAGACCAGAAAAGAGAGACAGATGCCCGAAGATATTATCAGACTCTGTGTGGGTATTGAGGATGTAGACGATTTGATCGATGACCTCAGTAGAGCTGTAAGTTTTCTGTTCCATTCAATTGAAGATATTGCGACTGACCTTGGTTGTAGCTTGTTCAAGCAGGTGCTGTCACTGTAACCTTGGATGGGTTCCATGCCACCGGTCCTGCGCAGGCGCTGGCGCAGGTGCCTATAGAAGAGTCGGACGCTGCTGCTGCACCTTCACGGTCATTGGTCATAGAACCGTAATTCTTCAATCCTATTCTTGTTTGCTATCGCGTTGCACGCGAATTGGCGTTTTGCGACGTGGAAAATTTTGATGCTAGAGAAAATTCTCTTGGTAGACATGTATAAAATCAATATTGATCGGTCTAATAAAAGCGCTGGCTTGACCATGAAGTGCTCAGATCTTAGATCGGGTGTTTCTTGTGGATTTGTACCGTTCTTTTTTTTGTTGCGTACTGCCGGGTCATTTTATACCCTTTTCTGTGTTGCTACATCTGATGGGCCAGCGAGTTTAATACGAGACGTTCGCTTAACTTGTAGCTCAAATATTATGAGGGCTTTCTCAAATTTGAACCCAGATGAGTGTCGTCCACTATTTCAAATGTGGGTATTCACATCTTTTTCTTACCAAAGATCCTCGTATCCGCAACTGGATCGCAATTTACGTGCGTGGGGAAGTACCCAACTGTACGCAAAAGCTGCTCATGTTGTACCCTTTACGAGCCTATGTACGAGGGCAGTCAGCTCATAGGTGGCGAGAGCTGGTAAAGATCCCTCCGCAAAAGGGGGTTTTTACTGTACGACGATAACTTTCTTGGCCTAGAAGTTGGTGGGAAGTTCAAAAGGCTCTCTTGAGGCGTTGGTGGCTTTCGTGCTGAGCTTTGATACGCCATTTTTTGTGTCAAGGGGGTCCAGCTGAGCTTCGAAACAGGCGACTAGGCGGAGCGATTGGTTGAATTATTCTTTTGATATTGAAAGGTTCTAAGTTTAGATTTCGAAAAGGAACGACAATCGGGTTTGTGCTTCATGTTATCAATAATTCCCGTTTTGTTCCACCTGTGCCCCTCAGCTGGTGGTTCCGGGGTCAAAAATACAAAATGATGGTTGCACCCCCAACGGATTGCTCAGCAAGAGGGGATACCATCATATACCGCACCAGACTTTGGTACGAAAGATTTGAGGACTTCGCCGAGTCTCAAAATCGCAACCGATAGAATGGCTCTCCCGCCAGCGGGAGCACCTATGGACATGTCTCTACCAGAAGGCTACAAAGCTCATTGGAACACACAATACAATGCATGGTAAATTTAGTCCAAAGGGAGCAATAACGGTGATGCTTATAGAACTTCTAGGTTTTACGAAAATGTATTTACGGGAGCTTCTGTCTGGGAAAAGCCCACTCAACCCGCGCCCCAAGCTCGCCCACAACCTAAGGGACCACCTCCCGGATATCAAGCAGTACAGATTGAGAACAAAGGAAACGACCAGGCTTCTTTACATACAGCGATGGCATCGATATCCCTAGGCTCAACTCAAAATACAACACAACAGCAGCAGCCAGCATATGTACCAGTTGCCCAGCAACCTCAGATATACAATCCTTATCCATCGCCAGGAGACAACCCGCAGCCTTTTCAGCAGCAGCACCAAAGCCAGCAAGTACTGGCATATAACCCATACCCATCACCAGGAGTATCTCAATCAGGCCAGCCACAGGCGTATAATCCATACCCTTCTCCAGGAGCTACTTCAACACCAGTGCAATATCAGCCTAGTCAACAATCCCCACAACACTCAGCCCAGCAAGCTTACAATCCCTATCCATCTCCAGGAGCTGCTGTTCCCTCACCAGTCTCACAGCAATCATACTTATACCCACAACAACCAAACACCCAAGCAGCACCCTCCCTAAATCCAGCTTCCCAGCAGTCACCATATGTAACCCAGCAACCTTATAATCCGACCCAATCCATAGCTCCCAATTCTCAGGCCTATATTCAACCGCAATCACCATCTTCTGGTGCCAATGCTCCAGGCCCAACGTCCACCTCTCAGCCTGAGATATCTTCCATAGATCCGACAGACGGGACCAAAGGCTTCTTCTCGCCAATTCAACAACAGAGTACTCAGCCTGGATATATAAACCACCAAACCCATCAGTCACCCTTAACAACCGGGGGATATCCAACACCGGCTTTCACGCCTTACAGCCAACAGCAGCCTCAATACGGTCAACCTCCACAAGCTCCACAACAACAATATGCACAAAATACAGTGTATAATCCACAAAACCAGCAAACTTCGCAAACCCAATATCCTCAGCAGCAAGTCTACAGTCAACCAGTATTCAGCCAACAGCCGCCTCAACAGCAAATATACGGACAACCTTTGCCTGCAGCACAAGGGGCACCTGCCCAAAATAACGCTCCCGCAGCAGCAAAAGCAGGTTTGATGAGAATGCTTGGAGGGGGAGTACTAGGAGGACTGGCCGCCAAAGCAGCTGGCGGAAAGACACCCTCTCACCCGCAAGTCTCTACACCAGCTGTTCACGGAACACCTCAACCCGGATACGGACAGCAACCAGCATACAATGCCACCGCTCAGCCAGGCTACGGGGCACCAGCACCAGCAGCAGCACCCGCTGCAAATCCAGAAAAGAAGTCTAATGCTGGGGCTTTGGCTTTACTTGGTGGCGGGGCGGGACTTCTTGCTGGTGGTGCTTTGGTTACTGGGTTGATGAGTGGGCATAAGAAGAAGAAGAAGAAGAAGAAGAAGCACGGTGATCATGGGGGCGGACATGGAGAGGAAGGAGAGTATTATGAGGAAGAAGAGTATGAGACCGGTGAGGTTGAGGAAGTTGAGGCGGATGGAGGGGGATGGGGGTTCGACCTTTTTGAGTAGTCTGTCCAACAGTGGTCGTCAGAATTCTGTGCGCAGGCCCAGATTTCAGCCGAAAACACACCAAGAACTGTGTTTTTAGAACTCTATAACTTTACAAACTTATATGTAAATATTGGGTTGAAAGGGTATTGGGTACTGAAGGTCATGGAGAATTGATTGCATTGTAAAAGGTAGCTATCTAAGGTGTTTATATAAAGATTGTAAGGTTTAGGCAGACATGAAGCATTTAGGTAGCAGAACTATAAGTGGATCAAATAAGGAAGTGGAGCAAAAGAGAAAGTAGACCCAGCACAACACACCCCCCCAGGAGACAGCGTCTTATTGAAAGCTGTCACCTGATCCAAGTATCAACTGGCTAATATCTGTAAGATGTAGTTGGTTGTACGAATAGAACATGCTTTTGAGGTGATAACTCCTTCGTAAAGCCGTCGGCTACCATACTAGTAGTAGGGACCCAG